TGCTCATTGTGGTTCCTTCAGCTGCTTTTGGTTTCTAGTCCAGCTTTATTTCCTCTCACTAGAAAATTATGTGGGATTTCTCTCTGTTAAGTGGATTGGCATTGGAGTTGTAAACAAACCCAAGTGCCATATTTTTCTCACCTAGTTTGCTCTGAGTTCTCCAGAGTTCACAAGCATCTAAAAGGCTCTGCACATGTGAGCCTGCACTTTGCTAAGTCCTTCATATCAAACCCTTATGGAATCTGGAGGTTTTCAAATACAACCATGCCCACAGATCACTGTTGTTCATTGGATTATGGGGTACAGCAGTGGTCCTTTAAGATTACAGACTCTGTAAATGTTTTCCATCTTATTAGAATATAGCTGGAAAACCTGGCTTCCCAAATGCCAAAGACTAAAACTAGACCCATACACTAATCTAAAATAAAAATGGATCAAATATTTAAACATTAAAACAGAAACACTGTATCAACTAGAAGAGAGAATAAGTAGGACCCTTGAAAACATACGTGTAGGCAAAGATTTCATGAACAAAACCCCGATAGCATCGGAAATAATACAAAGAATCAACAACTGGGATCTCATCTTATTAAAAAGCTTTTCCACAGCAAAAAAAAAAAAAAAAAAAAATGCCAGTAGAGTGAAAAGACACCCCACAGAGTGGGAAAAAAATTTTAGCCAGTTATCCCATAGGCAAGGGACTAATATCTAGAGCATATAAAGAATTGAAAAAAATCAGACTTCCCAGATTTAATGACCTAACCGAAAAATGGGCGTCTGAGATGAATATACACTTCTCAGAAGAAGAAATACAAATGGCATATATGTGAAAAACCACTCAACATCACTGGTCATTAGAGAGATGCTAATTAAAATAATGCTGAGATTCCATTTCACTCCAGAAAGAATAGATACTATCAAGAAGTCAGCCAATAACAAATGCTGGAGGGGCTGTGGGGAAAAAGGAACCCTTGTCCACTATTGGTGGGAGTGTGGACTCCTACAGCCACTGTGGAAATCGTGTGGAGATTCATCAAAAAACTAGAATTAGAAGTCCTATTTGAGGGGGCTGGGGATTTAGCTCAGCGGCAAAGCGCCTGCCTGGCAAGCGCAAGGTCGTGAGTTCGGTTCCTGGTACCGGAAAAAAACCAAAAAAAAAAAAAAAAAAGAAGTCCTATTTGACCCAGCTATTCCCCTTCTGGGTATCTTCCCAGAAGAATGACAACTTTATACCACAGTGATACATTTGCACCCATGTTTATGGCAGCACAGTTTGTAATAACTACATCTTGGAAACAACCCATACACCCATCAACCTAGGAATGGATAAAAAAGATGTGGTTTTTTATGCAATAGAGTACTACTGTGCCATAAAGAAGGATACACTTGAGGCATTTCTAGGTAAATGGATGCATATTGAGACCATACCCGTAAGTGAAATAAATGTCACACATGTGTAAATACTGCATTGTTTCTCTAGTGTGGGAAACCAAAAGCATAAAGAAGGACCAAAGTGTATAACAGTATTGTGAAATAGGGAAGAAATGGTTCAAAAGAAAGGGGAACTAGGGAGGGGAGGAGGGAAGGAAGGGAAAAGATAAAAATGAGAAAAGAAGGATAAAATGGAAACAAACTTTTCCATTTTAAGTGGGAGGGGAAGAGGGGTTGAAGGGAGGGGAGGGGATTGGGAAAAAATAGAGAAATGCGATACACCATAAATGGGTACAAATTCCCTATGATGAACCTGATCATTATGTATATCTAAATTGTACAGTAAGCTTAATAAAAAATATAAAAATAAGGAAAGGACATTGAAAAGATTTGATGAAGCTGGCTAGAAAACACTTAAAGTTTAGGAGACCCTTGGAGTGTAACATTCCCTCTCATCTCTGAGCCATCTAATCTTTGTGAACTTCATTTTGAGTAAAATGAAAGTTGCCGAACATTGTAGCACAGAGGTAAGAGGAGGACAAAGTTCAATTACTTGTTCCGCAGGCACTTGTGGAGGGCCTACCACTGTTATCTGCTATAAACAAAGCCAGATAAGACGCTATCAGAGGGCTTAGTCTTATTAAGCTGAAATATTTAAAATATTCCGCAGTGAGAAGAGACAGATGTGTAAGCAGCGTGACAGGTCTCCGTTAGGGACAGTGAGGAAGAAAGTGGCTCTCACAGGCAACATGAGGATGTCGTCCCTGAGTTTTCCTTTGCCAGGTGGAATGCACCAGGCAGCTTTATCTGGCTTCTGCAGCTCATATTAGTCCAAGAGAACGTGGAGTTGTTCAAGTGAGTCAGAAGCAGCAGAGCAGGTGGCAGCTACTTAAACGGATGCAGCAGTTCACATTGTCAATTCTCTCATTTCCATCCTCACTCGTCTTTACATGAAAGGTGCACATTTTTTAGGACATGGTGGAAAGACCTTTTGCACACAGTTTACCAAAGTTCTGTTACTTTCTGCACATTTTGTCAGGCTTGGTTTTTCTCTTCTTTGGAAGCTTAAACAAGGAAGACACTTAATTTATTTCAAGATAACTGTTCTCCTTTCAAAGAAAGTCACCTCAGTAGCCAACTGTCTAATTTGGAAGAGAAAAAAATTAAAAAAAAAAAAAAAAAAAACTTTCTATAAGACACGATGATAGAAACTGTCATGGTCTGTTGGTATTTTTTTGGAAAAGGCTCTCACTGTTACCAGTTTGGGAAGGGGTCACTGTGCTGTGGAGATGACCATGATGAAGCCATATATGTTAAGCCTGAACCAGAGAAGCCAAGCTTTGAAAGTCCCTTACCCTATATTTTTAAAATAGCTTGATGACCCTGTAGTCCATCCAAAACACTTCCTGGGATTATAGTTTCCTTTTAACCACATATAGTGGGTGTATGTTTGAGAGGAAATACTGTTACATAATTATGTAAAGCCACTCTACCTTAGTCAACATAGAACAAAGAGGTAGGTAGAGATAGCAAACAAATCTTTATGATTGTTAAATAAGATTTATGTATAACACTGGTAAACAAGCTCTTGGCAGGAGTGAGTGAAGTCCTAGTTTGTGTATATCGTTTGCCCGTTTCCATAGTGTAAATTCTCCCACCAAGGCTAAATTCAATTGGCCTACTACCAGTTGGCCTAAAAAATTCCTAAATATTTAACAATTTGCTCTCTCTAATAAGAACCAGCTTAGGCCTACCACTGGATACATATATTATTTGGCCATCATATAACCCTTTAAAAAATTTGAATTTGATAGCCAATAGCAAGCCAGGCATGGTGGTGCACACCTGTAATCCCAGTGCTTGGGAGGCCGAGGCAGGAGGATAGTTGTGAGTTCAAAACCAGCCTGGGCTACAAAGTGAGCTCAAAGCCAACCTGAACTGCAATAGCAAGAACTTGTCTCAAAAAGACAAAAAAAAGAAAAAAAAGAAAGCCTATAGAGAAGGCATGTTCTTACCAATTATTCCTGGTCTCTATACTCCTTGTTATTTACTCCAGGGCACATCATCCTTTTACATTGTCCACCTTGACCTGCTTTAAACTGGTATAGACAGCTACTCTGTCTGAGCACTGACCATATGGGCATTTCCAGGATTCTGTCCTGTGTCATTAAAATTGTGTGTCTCATCCAGGCCTAAATCTCATCTTTAGATACTGGAACATAAGGAGGTACTTCAAAAATGTGTAGAGGCGGGTAGATCTTTTGCAAAATGGAAGAGTACCAATAGATGGAGGGAACGAGGAAGGAGGCTAGGGGAAGTAAAAAGATATAAGATGTGTTATGTACATGTACTAACTCCCCTGGTGAATGTAATTATTCTGTCCTGCAACATGTACTAGTAAAAAATTTTTAAAAAGCGAAAAAGAGTATATAGTGAAAGAGATATAAAGAGTTCCAATTCATTTTAGCCGGTAACTCTCTCACCTTGTCAATTTACATCATCCCAGAGCCTCTCTTTCCTTAATGTTTTCTTTACTGTTCTTGTCAATTGTAGTGCTTACCTCATATAGCTATGAGGATTAAATGATAAGAAAATAATAGCAAAAGTAATAGTTGCTGGCAACTATGGAGCTAGTACCACTGGGGCCTGTGTTTGGCATTTTATCTGTATTAAATCAGTTAATACCCTAAGACCCTAGTGTGGCATCTGTACTGGAGAAGGGTTCCATCAATAGTAACTATTATTTTTATTATTGTTATTATTTTTATAATTATGAGAAACTTTAACAAGGAATCAAAAGCAGTTTTTCATTGTCAAATTGTCATGGAAACATCAATAAAATACATATATATGGCCTTGATAAGACATAAGTTAAATATGGCTTGCTCTTTTCTAGCAATTTATATTCTGTAACCTATAACTAAGAGGGAGGTGAGGAGAGAAGTAGAGAAGATGCATATAGGCAAATAGGCCCCACTACCTGTTGATTGGTTTGGTTTTTGTTGTGTTTTGTTGCCTTTAGCGTGTCTTCTACCAAATGATTGCTGGGCAACAGAAAAAATTTTCACATTTGTGAGCTTTCAGTAATGTGCTGAAACTGAATTTTGAGAAGTGGAATAAAGTTTCTAGTGTTTTATTAAATTTTACCAAGAAACCTTTGATCTTGACAAAAGATATTCCTTAAATCATTATTCACATGAAAAAAGTGTCTGCTGCATTGTGGTATGGCAGAGCACAAACAAAGTTTTATGAAAAAAATTCTTCAGAAAAATGAATGCCACTTTGCCTGTTGGTCCCATATTGAACACTGAGTGTAGGGGAGACATAATAGTTTAAAACATTGGCTGTGGTCTCTGACCCAGATGCTTGTGGAAGTCTCCCAGCATGATTAATTTTGCTTTTCAATGAGAAAAAAAGAAGTCATTCCAATTAGTCATTATTTCTGTATGTTGTGATAAACAGCCTTTTAACAGTTAGTTTGAGTAAGGAAGACAATAAGTAACAATGTGGAGTATTACTGGTGACTTGGAATAAAGAATTCAAAGTACATTTTATTTCAAACAAATTAGGAGTAAAGATGATACATCCTGAAAACAGGAGAAGACTCAAAAAGTTAGCAATGCTAAATGACTGTGAAAACTCTGATCTCAGAGGCATCAGAAAAGTTCAAACTGTTTCATCAAATGTGAGTGTGCAAAAGTAATATTTCTAAATTAATATATTTTTGCATAATATATGATTTAAATGTATATGCAGATGTATTTGAATTAATCTATATAAGTAGTTTTTACTGGGATTCTAGGCCAGAGGCCTCATACTGGTGAGCCCAGGAGACCAGATTTGGCCACCTGCTGCTTCAAGAGTCCAATCAGAGAGAGACAGGTGGTGGGTAAGCAAAAAAGGAATTTATTATCCAGTGTGCCCAGAAGAAACAAGGGAACCAGCATCCTAAACCCTCTCTTCCAGCGTCCTGACAAGAGCTTCCAGATTATATAAGGAAGGCACAAAAGTAGACAAGAGGTATAAGCAGTCGAGCAGCGTGATTAACCTGTGGTCTGGCTGATCATTATCTCAGGTTTAGTTAGCAGGGTCCTTCCGGCTCTTAGAAAAGTGTTATTGCTCGAGGGGGCAATTTGGTTCACATCACAAAATGATTGCCCCTCCTTCCTAGCCTATTTCCTCCCACATGGGAAGCAGCCTCATTCCTGTCATAGGGTGATCTGCCTGCAAGAATGGCTATTCCAGGAACTTGAAGACATCTTAGGTCTTGTAGTGTTATCAGTCTTAAAGGAGGAAAAGAGAGGTTAGATAGGTTAGGGCTAATTAACTCTGTATTACAAATTTTTAGAAAGACACTCCTTACACACTTAGCAGGAATCTGACCTGAATTCTATGGTAGCACCACAGAGCTGCAGGCCCAAGTGAAGAGTTCGTGCTTTTAGCAAAAGCAGCTTTAAATGCCTGTGACAAAACCCCCTAAATGTTTCACCCACACGTAAGGGAATTGTACAGTTGACCTTGCCACGACACTTCTGAGGATCTCTTTAGAAAAACGGGGGCCATCTTATATTCAGACCTAAAACAGTTCACTAAAGCTTTTAAACATTTATTTTTATTTTTTCTTTTTATTCAAATAGATTTTCACTGAAGTTCAGAAGCAAGGAACAAGAGAACAAGTAAACTCACTCTTAAGATTAGTTTTTCTCCTGAGCCCAGAAGGAGTGGGAAGAATGGAGGGAAAGAGTGGAAATGTTCAGAAATCTCTTTCACGCGAGGTAGACGTAGTAAACTCAAGTTCATTGTCTCAGCGATGGGCCCCTAAGCTGAAAGTCCCCTAGGAAAGAAGCTTGGAAGGAAGAGAAAGGAGAGAGGCAGGCAAGGGGCATAGATGACCTGTGCTCTCCTTTTTCCCTGACACGCTGCCGAGGGTCCCACACCCATCGCTGTCCCCCATGGACTGTAAGTGCACAGCTCAGATGTATTATTAGAATGTGGACCAAATTTGAGGGCAAAAGTAGAGACACATAGTAAAGGAGCTTTTCTAGAAAGGTAAAAGGCTGAAAAGATAAACAAATGAAGAAACACATGGCTAAACAAACCCCTTGAAAGCATATCGGGGTCAGTTCTCTTTGCAATGTTTAGAATGAAGATATTTCTGGCAGCACACTTCTCTAAAAGGAGTGGGAGGACAATGCAGCTTATTCTTTATTGCTTGAGTATGGTAAATTTTAACTTCAACCCAAATTCTAGCTATAACTGGTCTTTACCTAGGAGTCAGGCTAAGAGTACCTCAATAATGAAACAATGACAGACTTGATAATTGATTGTCAAGACAGTGTAGAAATATAGTGACAAACTTCATCCACACTGTAAAATAATTATAGCACAGCAGAACTGACATTTGTATTAGCTGAAAAGCTGGAGGGAGATGGTGCTATAAAAAAACATCGACTTCCCCTCCTGTGCTAGGATTCCTAATGGGAACTGTGCAAGAGAAGGCTAAATATAAAATTAACCAGGACCAATCACAGAAGAGCGAGAAAACAGTACCCCATAAATATGTACAATGTTTATATTTTATGTGTTACTTAAAAATGAACTTAATTTTGAAGTGCTTGAAGAAAAATTTAAAAATCAATTTTTTACCAGTTCAAAACTTAAATCCCTTGTATGTGAAAAATTTGAAAAACCATTAAAAGTCATAATGCATACAAGAAAGATCATCACATGTCTGTGTAAACAAGTATATTAGTAGAAAAAAAAGTAATGTGAAGAGTTTGTAGGCAGGTGAGTGGAAGTTGCTAAGGTGGCTGCTGCTTCTCTTTTCCCAGAAAGGGTCCTGCCACCTCCTGAGACCCACCTCTGCCGCAATGGCAAACGCCTGGCTGTTCAGGCTGATCTGTGCATCCCTAGGTTCCTGTACGTGGGCCCAGCAGGGAAAGCTCTCTGCCTGTTGGGCCGCAGAGTGGGAAGGATTGAATCTCAAGTTCAGGGGGTCAGACAGTAAATAAAACCAAGATAGTAAGCCAAAATGAGAGATAAGGAAAGAAAGGGCATGGTTTGGCTCTCTGAATCCACTTGGCCAGATGAGATTCCCATTAGGAAGGCCAATCAATTATTTTTCTGCTTGAAGTAAATCAGTTTGAGTTCTGGCACTTTTAATAGAAGGTTGGAGCATTTTTATAGCACTCTGTTTTCACTGTCTTGCTGGCTCCTCTCCTTACAAATCCCACCCTTTTTTCCCTCATGGCAGAATTCCCCTGGACTCCTAAGAAGGCTCCTACTTCTGGTTCTCACTGGAGCCGTGCAGTTATCTTTTTAGAGCCCAGATCTGGTCATGTGACTTCCCTACTGAAAAGCCTCCAGAAGCTCTCTGTCACTCCTAGAAAAATTTCATTTGTCTCCCAAGGTTGTGGAGGTGTGGCAGAGGCTCACAGCTCAGCTTCATCTCCCCCCTCTCTCCTCCCTGGACTCCCTACTTCAGCTATAAACCCACGTGACTTTTCTTCATTTCTCCAAATGCACCAGGCCCTCAGATGTTCAGGCCTCCAGCAGATGTTGTTTCCACCTGCAGTGTAGTCACATAGCCCCCTACACACACACATACATGACTAGGCTCTCACATGCCCTGCTTCCATATGAACCCTGACTGCACTCCACACATGTGGAAGATATGATATATAAAGCCTATTGTCTAATATGGTACACATTTGAATATAGTGTGTTCAGAAAGAGTGTATTTTCTTCCCATGTTCTCCTGACTGTTTAGGCCATCCAGGTGTACACCTTGATGCATAACTTTTGTTCCTTTTTTAAAAAAAAAAAAAAAATGCACTTCTGCATTAATAGTCACAGGTTTTTTTTTTGTTTTTTTTTTTTTGCTTACCAAGAAAATTACCTTTATTAGGAATATCTACCAGTCCATTGTGCACTCAGCAGTGAAGAAAAAGTACCTGTTTTTATCCATATTTCATCCTCCTACCAGTAGCTCTAAGCCTACTTTATTTTTCATTTGGTCACCACCATTTTCTACCAAGAGGTAAGCCAAAACTCTGGCTGTTTGTTTTTTCTCTTCCGCCTCCCCCATGAATTCAATTGACCTCAAATCTTACTGCCTCTTATGTTATCATTTAGCTTTTGGCTTTTGTTTCTCTAGCATTTGCAATTGTTGTGTCCCTCAAAGCTGAACAAGATGCCTAGAATGTTATAGGCACTCACTGAAACCCTGACAACTCTCCAGAGCCACTAATTCTTTGTCCATGTAAGCAAACAATGACTTGTTATACACTTGCTGTTGTATAACAGGCAAACCAGTAAATCAGGGACTGCTTTTTTCCCCAGTTCACGGCTGAGGAAGCTGGAGCACAGAGGTTATGGAAGCTGCTCAGATCACACAAGGGCAAAATTGAAAAGTAGTTGGACTCAAGAGCCCACCCTCGCTGTGGTCCTCCTCTTGTCTCTGTTCAGCTCCCTATAAAATCTCTCCTGACTTATAGGCACAGTTTCTTGACTGCTCTCTGTTTTCAGTTTTGAAAAACTCTGGCATTTTGTCAGAGGCTTCATAAACTTCTTCAGTAGTTCCCTTATGTTTCAAAGGACAATGCTCAGGTATGAGCTTTGTCATGGTACAGCCCTGTTCACTTCACCCCTGGTCCGTCTAACAGTCTTCAAACCACTCATGCTCTCTGCTGTCCCAGACTCCTCTGTGGATCCCAGTGTCCACATCCATCTTACTTTAAGACCAACCCTTCCGGATCACTCCTAGAAGCTTCCCTAACCTCCTCCCCTGGAGTGTTCTGAGTGCTTCCACCACACATCCTTCCCTTTCTAAAAATCTTTGCTATTTTATTTGTCATTAGTGGGTGAGGGTTGTATCCCTGACTTCCTAGCACAGTCTAGCACGTAAGTACCGTAGAGGGAAGTGAAGAAGGAGCCATTAGGTTTCTCCACTATGGTTTTCCACCAGTACTTGGTAATCCATGTTGCTGTCCCTGTATACTTTTTCCTATTGATCCATAGACTTGGTTTTGTAACTGATTCAGCCTGAACAGAGTGAGTTCTGCAAGTGTGATATGCAGAATAGAATGATGACTCTTCCTCTCCACCAGTGTCTACATCTTAATTCTTTAAATCTGTAAATGTGATACCTTACGTGGAAAGAGAGATTTGGCAGATGTGACTAGATTAAGAATCTAGAGATTCCAGGGCTGGGGATTTAGCTCAGTGGCACAGTGCCTGCCTGGCAAGCACAAGGTCATGAGATCGATTCCTGGTACCGGAAAAAAGCCAAAAAAAAAAAAAAAAAAAAAAAGAATCTAGAGATTCTAGAATCTAAGAGATACCCTGGATTAGCCAGGTCAGTCAAATTCAATCATGTGTTCTTTTTTTTTTTTTTTTTTTTTTTTTTTTTTAAAGAAAATTAGTGTTTATTCATGCACCTAGAATGAGCCTCTTATATGAACACTAATTTACTTTTCTCAGTTGTCATCTATTCTGGCCCTAGATGATGTTACATTTGAAGTATCTCCTTTAAGTGTCACTAGTATCACAAATGGATCACATTCTGAGGCCACTTCAGAACAATCACAGGTATGTATTTAAGTTCCAAGAAACATAAGCACATCTTCTGAGTTGAAACTGGTAGACAGACCTACAAAGCTGATTGGAAGGAAGACGCTAAGTAAAAATGTTACACTTTTAATAATACAATTATAAACCTTAAGATAGAAAATGAAATTTTTTGGCAGTGGGAATTTTTTTATTGGAACCCATTTGCAGTACATAATGTTTACATTTCTTTGTGGAGTTGGTAATGTACCTAATACATCTTCATTCTTCCTTTTTCATCCCCTTTTCCTCCCTTTATCTCTGGATCCCCTTCCCATTTGAGAAACATAGACCTCCCTGCATGCTACCTTTATTATCTACCTTTTATTTTGCTTTTTATTTATAATTTACATTTCTCATATAAGGGAAATCATGTGATATTGAAGCTTGTGTCTAATTTATTTTATTTAACATTATGGAGCAATAAATATTCTTTAAGAAGGAGACAGGAGAGTCAGAGTCAGTAAAAGAAGATATAAAGACAGAAGCAGAGGTCAGAAAGGAGAGATGCTGAGACACTGTCTTGAAGATGAAAAGTGGAGCCATGAGCCAGGCCAGGCATCTCTAGAAGTGGGAAAAGCCAAGGGAAGAGATTCTCTCTCACAGTATCAAGTCCTTCAAAGCAGTTTTAGACTTTGGCCACTTCCATTTTGTAAGCTCTGATTCTGTGGTGATATATTAAGTTGTGGTAAAAAACCAATACAGGTTTTTATAACTTGAAATATGGTTCTTTTGTAATAAGGACTTAAAAATGCAGAATTGCCTTTGGAATTGGAAAGGGAGCCGAGACTAAGAATTTTGAAGAACATGATAGAAAAGGTTTAGGTTGCTTTGAACAGACTGTTAGAAATACAGATATTAAAGACTTCTGGCAGGGGCTCAGAAGAAAGGGAAGAGCATGATAGAGAAAGCCTATATTGTCTTGGGAAATACCTGACACCATAAAGAGATTGTTGGCAGAAACGTGGACATAAAAGGCACCACTTGTGGGAGATCTGAAGGAATTGATGAGTGTGTTGTTTGTAACTAAAGGAAAGGTGACTCTTAGGATACAGTAGTAAGAAACTTAGCTGAATTGTACTCTGAGCTAAGGTGAGAAGAAAAAGATAAATTGAAGAAATAACTGATAAATTAAAAAGAAATACTGGATGATTTGAGAAAACTCTGCCTACGCACATTATAAAAGACACTATAATTAGGAGATTTGCCACTAGGAAAGCATGCTGTAGAAGGAACGCCAAGGGTGTGACTGGATAACCATTTGCTAATTCCTGGAAAAGTATTAAGAGGTCAAAGTAGTGAGTCATACAGATGAATCTTTGAACAGAGTAGGGATGTGATTTATGCATTTGCTCAGCCATCTCAGGAGAAGCCAGGAGTAGAGATGGGGTTATCCAGGAAAAACATGAAGAGCGAATTCCCATGATATACCCAGAGACCTATGAAGTTCTTGAGGGTGTTATACCACCAGAATTCTGGTGGACTGGACTGAAAGAGATAGTGTGATATAAAAGAAAGCTCTCTTACTCCCAAAATTCTACAGAAAGGAAACAAGCTGATAAAACTACTTAGCTACAAACATGTACTACCCTTCAATAAGAAGAAAAAATGACTATGGAGACAGAACTGCAGGCCTAGATGGCAGAATCTTGAACCACAGGATTATTCCCAGGCCTTAAAACCTAATGGACTTTACCTAGATAGATTTTGAAATCACTTGGATTTGGCCTTCCCCCCCCCCCCATTTTTCTTCTTTTGAATGGGAATGCTTATAGTTGTCCTTTTATGCATGTCCACCATTGTATTTGGGGAGCACTTAACTTGTTTTCCAGTTCTGCATGTTCTTAGGTACAGGAAATTCTGCCCTAGCATGGACTATAGTCAGAGCTTTACCCAGCCTAATTTAGATGACTAAGATGATGAGGCTTAGGGCTTTTGAGCTGATGAGACTTAAACGGGATTTGAAACCTGAGTGATTGTTGTAATGGGCTGAGCATTCGGGGGACTGTGGGTTGAGTTAGGACTTTGCGTATGGAGTGGGTGTGAATCTTTGAGAACCAGAGATGCACTTGACCAATCTCATGGACCTATAGCTGTGTTACCCTACATGGTAAACTGGACTTTGTAGATGTGAGTAAATTACAGGTCTTGATGTTATGTTGAGTTATTTGAGAGGACTCAAGAATAACCACAAGGATCCTTATAAGAGAGGGACAGTAGAATTAGAATTTTTTTAAAAAAAGACAGAAGTAGAGGTTGGAGAGACAGTGCTTCACTTCTGGCTTTGAGGATGGAAAAGAGACCATGAGCCAATAATGCAGGTAATGTCTAAGAGCTAGAGAAGGCCAGGAAGCCTTCTCCCAAGAGCCCCTAGGAAGGTTATAGCCCTACTGAGGGCTATATCTGACCTCCAGAAGTACAAGGTAATAAATTTATGTTGTTCTAAGCCACTACACTTGTGGCTTAATTTGTTATATCAACAGTGGGAAACTCAGCACATTTTTCTGGGCACCGACAGTTACGGAATTAAAAAGAGTTGTGGGTGTGTCCAGCTATTTCTGTGAGGCTGGAGTCTGATTTTAATTTTTGGCTGGCTTATATGTGCACTGAATGTGAGAAAAAAGATCGTCCCTTTATGAAAAACTGGACCGTTTAACTTTTTGTTTTTAACTTTGGCATTTACAGTTTCTCAGCTTAGTGAGAAAAGCCAGTCAAGATTTTGGTACATCACAGGAAAAGTTTAGCAATTCTGCACAAATTGTGGCTTTTTATTTGTTGAAAAATTAAATGCGTATGGATAACACATACTTTGCTGTAATACTCTGTCAACTTTGATCAAATATACTTTGGTTTTGTTGGCTATAATTTTAATCATCAGGAAAATCTTGCTTTCAAACGTGTTTATTTTGTGCTAGTCAGCAATCAAATGCAGTCTTCTAGGTGCTAGGAAGCAGGCAGAGTTTACAGTTGAATTCTTAAAAACGATTGTTGTTGTCATGAATCATAATTATGTGATTTCTCCCCATTCCCTTGTGTTTTGTTCTATTTTATGGTAGGGAAAGAAAAATGAGAAATGAAGAGATGGCCAGGTGTAGTGGTGCAAGCCTGTGATCCCAGCATTCACAAGTTTGAGGCCAGCCTGAGCTACATATTGCGTTCAAGACCAGTCTAAACTACGTAACAAGACCCTGTCTCAAAAAAACAAAAAGAAGGGAAAACATGAATAAATAAAGGGCTGTGTGTATGTGCATGTGTGTGCACAGTTTTCTGCAGTATAACCCACAGCTTTTGTTATGTTCAGGTTGTATTTAGCAGAATTTTACCAATGCTAACCATTACGGTCAGCTAGCCAAGTAGTTGAAATTTATTCTGAATTGTAAACTCTGAACAGCATGTTGGCCCAGTATAAACTTTCAATAAAACATTTTCCCATATTTCTGTGAAACACATATAAGTTAATATAAATAAGGTATTTGACATAGTTGCACATCAGCCAACTCAGAGTAGGAGAGCTGTATGATTAATGTTAGTTCCATGATCAAGAATACTTTTTTTTAAATAGAATTTTGGTAATTACTAGTACTGTCTATAAATATTTCAGTTTTCCTCCTACCAAACACACTGTAAGATTGTATTTTCTCCACTCTTCAATCTGGGTGTCCTATGACATGCTTTGGCTGAGTATATACAAGCATTTATTTAGCCTATGCTCAACTCCAGTTCTGGTAATTATGAAAGCACATGTTGTCATGGGGCCTTTGTTAGCCCGCGTTCCTGCATGACTGGCATGAGCAGAACCTCCTGCAGCCTGCACTGCAGGTAGCACATACAAGAGATAAACATGTGTTCTGTTAAATTCCTGATACAGGGAGTTGTTTTTATTGCCACATAACTTATCATAATAAAAGCATCTCTGGCAAAAATTGAATATATTTCTTCTGTTTTGTTTTGTTTTTTTTTTTTGGTTTTGGTTTTTCTCCGGTACCGGGAACCGAACTCACAACCTTGCGCTTGCCAGGCAGGCGCTTTTGCCGCTGAGCTAGATCCCCAGCCCCTGAATATATTTCTTCTAAGTTATTTGATTCTGTGCATTTGTATCTAATTATTTGAGAAACTTGGAAGTACATCATCTTTTTGAAATAGCCCTTACAATTCTCAGTGGAATTTATAACATTGTAGTTTGTCTCTTTTAATTACTTACATGGTGACTTAATAACTTTTTCTGAATTTGTTAGTATGCAGTTAACTCTGTTCTGAGCATTTCTTATGACTCAGTTTACATTTTAAAGATTATTTTAAATGTTTCCAGTCTACCGTGAAAAGTAATGGCATGAAAAATATTATGTGCTAGAAAACTGATTTTCCCTACTCCACATTTGTTCAGTATAAAATGAAATGCAGAGGTGTATTTTCTCTTCTAGAAAAAAAAAGACTTCCAAAAAGCAGAGATTTTACATGCCAACTTCATCACTATTAGATAATTGAAACAAAATACTAATAATTCTAATGGTTTCTATGGACAAGTACTTAACAGTCAAAGTGCTGACTTCATGTAATTTTAATGACATGGTGACCCGAGTTAATAGCTGCATCTGGTGGCTTGAGCCTCTCCATTTGCAAACATCCAGGAAGTCTAGTAGGATGAAGGAAACTCAGCTAACCACCACGATGCTGCAAGATGATAACATTCCTTTCATTTGAAGGAGACAGTATCCTATCTCATATTAATACCTCTTGAGAAATCAAATGTAAGACAGCAAATTAAACTATACTCCCCTAAAGCTTAAATGTTTATTTTATATCTAGATATGTTCCTATTTTTAAAATGTGGACACATGTCCCCAGATCTCCTGCTTATATTTGGTTTTTCCAGTTTTCATGTACCTTCTGACATGCACTAGTTTAAATGCACACACACATGCAAGCACGCACACAGTTTATGTGAGGGGCAAATCTTTTGAGAGTTCCTGTGTAGTCTTTTT